AGCACGTTATCATGGGAACTATAAAAGTTTAAGACACAACTAGACCAAGACATTGTTTCTTAGGGGTTGTAATCAGGCTAGCAACGTTTTTTGCCTATGGCGACGTGCAAGATTTGTATGTTAGCTAAGCTACAACCTCCCTCTCTTTCTTCATTTACTACGATGCCATCAGCAAAATATCAAAACTGTGCTACTCTAAGTAAAAACACATATGATTTATTATATTGATTATGTACAGTTGTAACAATATTTATTGAGTATAAGTAGAGTAGTTAAATGGAAAATGTTTTGAATATTGTACTAGGTCTTTTCGTATACATGATTGCACGTTGAGGTGGGTCGTCTTATCTCATTCATAATTGTATGATAAGGTGGTATTGCTTGCATGTTGAGATAAATGAGTTAGCGAGGAACTGAGGATAACCCTCTTAGGTATATATAGGATGTCGCGTAAAATGAACGTGAAATTCCACCTCTTGTTCGACCAATGGCCGGCCTTTGTTATATATTCTTAACAAGATTCGCAGAGCCATCATACTGTAACCATCCAAATTTAAATCTGAATGGACATCATGATATAGGTGTGATATATATGCTCGCTGCCCATGCCAAGGAAGAAGAAGAAGAAGAAGAAGCAGAATGACACATTGGCTACCAGAGACGTAGAATTAAGTAATTAAGCAGTGAGAAGGCTACCTGTTTGATCCTACATAGAAGTGCGTTTGCTTCTGCAGTTGCTCAACACTACTGCTAATGTGTGTTCTAGAAGAAGAATAGGGGGTATGAAATCCAATGCAGTCCTCTGATCCTACGCATGCATGGGACGTGCTGAACAATCACTCATCGATCGCTGATCACCGGTCTCTCCCATCTCCTGCCGTACGTACGTGTGCTGCAAATTACTTGAGCCAGCCAGCCACACGGTACTGCTGTTATAAATCCTCCTCACAAGACGATGACCCTGCACGTTCATATATTGTGGCGATCGATCAAGAGTGTACTTTTATCGGCGATGGGATCAAAGAGTGTACTTGATCGAGACTGTTGTGTGGCGACTGAGGCTAATAAACTGAGCTGGATCTGCACTTAACCATTTATCCCCAAATCTGCCAATTGCCACCTGCTTTTGAGCCCAATGAAGTGTAGTTATGTAGTTATGTTGACACGTATCAAGTACTGCCTGACTCAAGTATAGCCCGATGAGCTAAGTAAGGATTGATCCAATTCGGAATGAAAGTTATCAAGTACTGCACTTCACATACTTATTGCCAAATCTGCCAACTGTCACCTCCTTTTGAGCCCAATGAATTGGAGTTATGTTGACGCTAACTGAGAATAGTAGCAGGTATAGTACCAATGGACTGAGGCAGTATCACTATGATGGAGAGGGAAGGCGTCTATATATGGAGCCACAACCCTGCTAATTGAAGAATAAATCTAACTAGCAGCATATAGAACACTACTGATAACAATGTCAATTATGTTCATCTCCACACTGCTCGTTCTACTTGTTCCAGTTTGCTTGTATCTCAGGGCTAGTTGTAGGTCAAAGAACCCACCAGTGCTTCCCACAAACTGGCCAATGCTGCACATGTTCCCTTCCTTCATAGCCAACCTCCACAACTTGTATGACTATTACACCCTGGTCCTCGCCAGATCAGGCCACAACTTCAGGGTGCATGGACCACCTGGGACCGGGATGCGCTTCTTCATCACATGCGACCCTGCGAACGCCCGGCACATCTTGACGACGAACCATGCCAACTTCCCCAAGGGCACAGAATTCGCCGATATCTTCGACATCATGGGTGGCAGCCTCTTCACCATTGATGGTGAGCCGTGCCGCCGACAACGCGCGAAAGCCAAGAGCATCCTCAGCAGCCCGAGGATCATTTCCAGTATGGTGGCCTACCTCTATGGAAAGGTGGAGAACAACCTCCTCCCATTGTTCACCCGGATGGCGATCACTGACACTTCATTCGACATGCATGAATTGATGTCGAGGCTTATGTTTGACCTGGCTGCTATGCCTCTCTTCGGTGTGGATCCTGGCCTCCTATCCTTAGACATGCCGCCCATGGACGCAGCGGTTGCCCTGGACACGGTGATGGAGGTGGGCTTTTTTAGGCTCATGATGCCAGCTTATTGCTGGAAGTCGATGAGGTGGCTAAACATCGGCCCTGAGAGAAAGCTTGACACGGCACGCATGGTGCTGCGAGAGATCATTGGGGAGATGATGCAAAAGAGGAAGATCACCACATGTCGTTTTGGACATGGCAAGGAACAAGAGAGTGTGGATATTATTTCTTCCTTCCTCGAAGACCCAGACTACACCAATGTTGACTTGCTCCGTGCGATTATCATTAGCTACATGCTCGCTGCGAGGGACACAATTGCAACAACCCTAACATGGATCTTCTACAACCTCGCCCAAAATCCAAACATCGTGTCAATCATCCGCGACGAACTTTCACCCATTGCATCACACAAAGTAGCATTAGGGGTGTCTACCCCGGTGATCTTTGAGCCAGACGAGACCAGATCTCTAGTATATTTGACAGCCACCTTGTACGAGACTCTTAGACTTTACCCACCAGCACCTGTTTTGCTCAAGAAGGTGGCCGTAGATGACATCATGCCGAGTGGCCATGAGGTGCATGCCGGTGACACCATTTTTGTTTCTGTCCATTCCATGGGGAGAATGGAGGGTGTGTGGGGTAAAGACTGCCTCGACTATAACCCACATAGGTGGCTCTCAGATGATGGCAACAACCTGAGATACATACCATCTCACAAGTTCTTGGCCTTCAACTCTGGCCCGAGGATGTGCCTCAGCAAGGACATTGCACTTATGCAAATGAAGACTGTCATTGCTATAGCTGTGTGGAACTTCGATGTGAAGGTGGTGGAAGGGCAAAGCATCCAGCCTAAGCCGTCCATTATACTGGAGATGAAAAATGGGCTCATTGTTAAGTTGAAGAAGCGAGAAATGTAATAGACTCTCGTTGTATGTAAATGTACTTGCCGACCAGTAGGACAGTTTTACACTGCCCATAACCACATTATAGTCGAATAATAAAGGCATGCATGCGTCAAAATTTGTATTTCTTTTACGAAAAACAACCAATGTACTACCATTTTTTACTCGTGTTGTATGAGACACGGTATAGAAGCATCGAGACATGGTGTTTCCTCCATATTGTATGCGACTATCTACATGTGACATGTTGCTGGTACTTGGAAGTGCCCCAACCAGCTCAAAGTTGCATGTACGGGTGCCTAGTAGAATAACGGAACCAATTGATCGGTGAAAGAACAGTCTTCCTTCAGATCTTGGCTGGTAACTAATACACGGAAAAGTATCTAGTGCTCCCAGGCCTAGGGTGCTCCCGGTGCTCCGATGCAAAAAACATTTTTTAAAATGTTCAAAAAATTCTGAAAAAAATGCAGCACTTATGTTATGTACAAAAATTTGTCATTTTTGTATCTCGAGCAATGTTTCGAATTTTGATTTGAAATTTTGTGACAAGAGACATCGATGTTCCGTCGATGTGCTGCATTTTTTTCAGAATTTTTTGAACATTTTAAAAATATTTTTCGGACATTTGGAGCACCGGGAGCACTAGATACTTTCCCACTGATACACAACTTGCCAGCATCTAGACCTCACCGGTATACTCCAGTTCAACATCATAGCGGTTATGCTCGCTATACTTGGTGAACACGCTAAAGTGACTGGACAAACTAGTGGTGTAATTCATCATTTAGTAGTAGATAGTTTATCCATTCTACAGTATGTGAATGACACAATTTTCTTTGAGGATAAAGCAAGAAACCTCAAGCTCATTCTATGCTTTGCCTTTGAGGATCTTTCGAGTCTTAAAATTTCTATAAGAGTGAACTTTTCTGCTTCGAAGAGGCCACAGACTCGCGTTCAAGTACGCGAAGATCTTAATTGAACCGGAAGAAACAATTCCATTACTTTATTTTCTTCCTGATCACAAACTGTTTTATGGTCTTCCTAGGAAGCATGTAGCCTTGCGTGCTCTTTAAATCATGCAATTCCTAGAGAATAAGCACTTCATCGAACCTTATGTTGTGATCCACCAATGGCAAATATATTTTTACAAGACTAATATCTTTCATTGGAATTCGGCTTACATTTTCATGCAAAATATCCTCTTTCATGTATATACCTTTATCATAACATTTATGGTGTATATAAAAATATATCATTTGTAGTAGCATAGTATGAAAAACTTGGTTTATTATTCAAACAGTTTTGACACACTAAATATGCTGCCCTCGCACGAGGGCCACCCTGCTAGTTGAAGTAAAAAATGAAATATAACAAAACAGTGAATAGCGAACAAGCTGATAACTAAAACCCAAAATATTTAAAAGCTAAAGGATGAAATAAAATAACAAGAGAAGATATGGAAAAATAAATAAAGTATACAAAAGGGCGGAATAGATGTGCAGATCATGCTTTTAGTGCACCAGTGCACATCATGTGCTCATCTGGCTTAATAAATCAAATATTTTGAATATTAAATTGTGCTGATCGATGCGATCTCATCCGGCATCCAGCTCGCAATTAAGAAAAGGCAACGAATTTGCCTCGTGTTATTTTTCTAAGGCATTTATTTCCTCGTGCTCGGCACTTTGTCCTTTTGATTAACAAAAAATTGCCATAAAGCTATCCTCAACCACTGCATTTGGAATAATGGAAGTTGTATCATTCAACCACACACTGTACTGTTTAGTGAATGGAATGGAATTTTTCATATAAGTTCGTACCTAAACCAATACACCGTTGTTTTGCATACATCTCCTCACGTGTAGTAGGTAAGTTTGATTTCCAGATCCCAACCAATCCCATGTCCTGTGCTGCATATCTGATCCATAAATACGGATGATCCGTGTATAAACTGAATGTCAACTGACTGATTAGTACTAAACTTGCCGGCTGGTTACTAGCTAGCTCCCAGCTGCATGACATGGAGGTAACAATTTCAAGCATTTCTTTCGTTTCCCTAGCCCTAGTACTCCTCCTTTGGTTTTTTCATCCCAAGCCCAACAAGCATTTGCGGCCTCCCGGGCCATGGACCCTACCGATCATCGGCAGCCTCCACCACGTATTCGGCATCCTCCCACACCGCATCATGGCGGAGCTATCTCGCCGGCACGGCCCACTGATGTTCCTCAAACTCGGCGAGGTGCCCACCGTGGTGGTCTCGAGCGCGGAGATGGCGGAGGTGGTGATGAAGAGCAAGGACCTCATGTTCGCCTCGCGGCCGCGCAGCGTGACACTGGACGTCATAGGTTATGGCAGCGGCATAGGCATCATCTTTGCCCCCTATGGCGACCGCTGGCACCAGGCCCGCAAGGTCTGCACCATGGAGCTCCTGAGCGTGAAGCAGGTTATTAATTTGCATACACCATCTCTTTGGGGGAAAATGCCAGCACCTAACTAGTTTGCAATAAAGCATGAGTGTTGATAGATAGAAGTGAACAATATGTTTCTAACACAGGTGAAGCGTATGGAAGGCATCAGGTCCGAGGAGGTCAGCAACCTCCTTAGTTCCATCACCACCTCGATTGGCACAACTGTCAACCTCACGGAGAAGTTGTCGGCACTGATGAACGATGTCATTGCGCGGGCGGTGTTCGGAGGCAAGTGCGCACAGCAAGGCGAGTACCTCCGGGAATTGGAAAAGGTCACCGCATTGGTGGGAGGCTTCTCGCTCGTAGACCTATTCCCGTCGTCGCAGCTGGTGCGGCTGCTGAGCTCCGGGGAGCGACAGATGAGGAGGAGCTATGGACGAATCCAGCGCATCATCTCCGACATCATTGAGCAACGCAAGGAGATGCGCGCTGCAGTCAGCTCCAACGACGAGGAGGACTTGCTGGACGTGCTGCTCAGGCTGCACAAGGAGGACTCCTTGCCATATGCTCTAACTTTAGAGGCAATAGGCGTCATCATATTTGTGAGTATTGTTTGCCATGTCCTCTCCTCACTTGTTGGAAATATTACGTTTTATCTATAGTTTTTCATTATTGAAGCTAAATATGTACGTGAGTATAACCTACAACAATTGTTCGCAGGACTTGTTCGCGGGTGGCACCGAGACCTCTGGAATAACATTGGAGTGGGCTATGTCAGAGCTCTTGAAAAATCCCGAAAATATGAGAAAGGTGCAACTAGAGGTTCGACAAGTGGTAGGTGGGCAACAATCTGTCATAAATAACAATGACCTTCATGACCTCCACTACATGAGAATGGTGATCAAGGAGGTCTTGAGGTTGCATCCTCCCGCTCCTCTACTCCCCCGAAGGGCAAGAGAAGACTGTGAAATCATGGGATATAAAATTCCTGAGGGCACCAATGTACAAGTTAATATATTCGCGATTTGTCGGGATTGCAGATATTGGGATGCCCCTGAAGCATTTGAGCCAGAGAGGTTCAAAGAGATAAGCATAGACACAAGGGGACACATTTTGAGTTCACACCTTTCGGGGCTGGGAGACGGCAGTGTCCTGGAATGTTGTTCGGCACATCAACCGTGGAGATCGCATTAGCAAACCTTCTGCACCATTTTGACTGGGTGATCCCTGATGGGCCTAATCCGGGGTCGTTGGACATGTCTGAGAAGTTCGGGATCAATGTACGTAGAAAGTTTGATTTAGAGCTTAGAGCAATCCCATATGTGCACTCCAAAGCTGCGTAGATCTATGGACATGTGGACACATGGAAGAATTGGCTCGCTCATAGGCTCCCTCCTCTAGTTGCCCTCTCTGCTCTCTCGGCCAACCTTCTCTTGATTACCTTGGTCCTCTTCTTTGTAATGCACATCCGTCTTTGGGCCCCTTTGAGTGAAAATCCATGTGGGGAACCTCTCCCCCAGGTGAATATTCGAATAAAAAATTTGTCTCACGTTGAACTTCTATACAGTCAAGCAAGAGAAGCTCACTCAAATACTTGTGTGACATTGACTTTATGCATGGGCCTTTACACACGTTGAAATGAAATTATTTCACCTTTTAACTTATCCGTGCTACTATTCCTCAGGCAATAGAAAAAAATTGTGATCAGTCGATTTCAGATAGAGGAAACAACATGAGAGACATAAGCAAGAGGGGAGTAGCACGAGACCGAAGACGGAGGCGGCGCGACGAATCACAGCAAGGCCAAGATAGGAGCGAATCAAAGCTGGGACAATGCAGTTGGTCGTGGCATCGCATGCGGTGTTGAGTCCGAGGTATAACAAAGGCCCAAACGGGGATGGGGATGACGCGGGCAACCGAGGCATCGTCGGCGAGGGCTTGGGAAAAAGCTCGCCAGAGGCGAAGTATGGCCAAGAAATCCCATTGGTTGAGAGAGATCATTGGGTCCAATCATCTGATCGTTGCATCGGCCAAGAAACACGAGGAGGAAGACATCCAGCGGTTCATTTCTGATCCAAAGGTTGGGAAAATTCAGTTATTTATCCTAAAAGGCATGCATATTATAGCTTGAAAGCGGGAGAAAAACGTGGAATTTGTACGATCATTGTACGATGTCCAATCCTGCGTTGTGGACGGCTTGGGAAATCCAGCGCTGTGCTACCTTCAATCCTACCTATGCGTAGGATGCATTGTGCTCCGATCTTGGTATGATGCTGGTGGAAATGGTGTCGTATTAAAATCACAAGGATTTTATCGTACTCACAGCGCTGCTCTAATACTCCAACCATTCATCTGAATAAGGCGCACGCCCATGTCAAAATTCAACTACAGTATATATTTTTATGACTTATAAAAAGTTATACCTCCAAAAACTTCTTTTGAAATACAGTACAATGGTATAATTTTTGTCACATATAATCCACATTTGATTGGTCTAATTTATAATCAAGGTTCCATTTTGAGATGTGTGGATCATAAATAATCTGCCTATGTTCATATGTTGTGCATTTAACTTAAGGCCATTATGTACTCATATGTAATTGAAGGCCATCATGTATACTTTCACGTTTCAAAGGAATTTCTGTGTTTTTGCTATACGCTGCCCTGGAGAACGCTATTGCATCTTTTTTGCTTTTGTTTTCTGTACTTTGTCATTGTGATATTATTGTGTTTCCTTTATTTGATCTTATGTTGTTTGATAGTTATAAGGCCTGTATAGTGAGCATTGGAGGACTTCTTTTTAACACAGCAAATCACCAACCTATTGTTTGTGGGCGCGCGCCAAGGCACGCCTCCTGCACTAGTATATATCATTTTTTAACAAATTAAATTTGTTTGTTTTACACGCATAACAGAGCCAGCACAAAATATATCATTGTTGTGTAAAACAAAGCCAGCACAAACATATATGTGTAAAACAAAACAAAGCCCTCGTGCGTCATTTCCCTCCACATATATCCCTTAGAAAAGAAAAAAAGAAAAGAGGGGTTGCCCGGGTCCCGCTCAACATGCAAGCCCACGAGAGCGCTACGTACTAGTGGACCAAACAAAGACAGCACCAATTTTATCATTGTTCAACGCATGACTGAACCAGCATGGGCGACACGCCTGTCATGTTCGGCGCCCGCCAACCATGAGAATGTTAGGCGGGTGGTAGCAAGGAAGGCGAATTGTACTGCTAATCTGGGTCGCACAAGTCCCGGTTACCGAGAATGGAGAAGTTGATCTTGCGGCACACACAAATGACACAGAGAGAGTGATTTCGTTATGCCTTCGCCAACCGTGATCCAAGCTCGGATGTCGATCCCTCTGTGGTTGGGGGCTAAGTAGTGGTGACGCAGCCTTCCTCCTCCATGGGCTGGAACATGTAATTGACCCATTGTAGCCTAGTGAACTTGTGGTAGGGCCTCCTGACCCTATGAGGCATGTCAGTCTGAGTGAGTGAGCGCCTCTCCTCGTCTACCGGTTGGGTAGTCATGGTAGGGTCGCTAACACCCTTCCCTCCTTGAGAATTTACTTGTCTCCAAGTCGGGGCTGTAGGAAAACATCAATGTACATCTTCTAGATCCTCTCAAGTGTCAGGTAACATGGTTGATTCAGGCCACTTGATCAAACCTTGTTTGTGCATCTTGCATGCTCCCAGGCGCCATCGTCATTCCAAGGCTGCAATTGGTGCTCTAAATTCATTAGAAACAGTAGGCGACTATGAGGAAACACGCTCGCACCTGGGGTTAAGAAGCACCATAATTGGGATATGTGGAACACTGAGAATACCGTCAAGCCTTCAGGTAATTGGAGACAATAAGCCACTTCGTTGATTCGAGCCACAATGGAGAGGTCTAAAGTATTTGAATGATAATTCTGGTTGGCTCATGTTGCCACTAAAGTCAGGATGTAAGG